CAGAGAGAGAGAGAGAGAGAGAGAGAAAGAGAGAGAGAAAGGTCTCTTTTCCATTGGTTCACCCTCCAATGGCCGCTGCAGCTGGCATGCTGCAGCCAGCACACCGCGCTGATCCGAAGGCAGGAGCCAGGTTCTTTTCCTGGTCTCCCATGCAGGTGCAGGGCCCAAGGACTTGGGCCATCCTCCACTGCACTCCTGGGCCACAGCAGAGAGCTGGACTGGAAGAGGAGCAACTGGGACAGAATCTGGCGCCCCGACCAGGACTAGAACCCGGGGTGCCAGTACTGCAGGCAGAGGATTAGCCTATTGAGCTGCGACGCTGGCCTTGTAATAGATTTTTAAAGACTATTTTACCTAGTATTAGTATAATCATATCCTCCTCTATTTTTGTTATTTGTAAAAAATCTTTTTCTATCCTTTTACTTTCAACTTACATGTGTCACTTAGATCCAAAGTGAATCTCTTGGGGCCAATATTGTGACATACCAAGTTAAGCTGCTGCCTATGATGCCAGCATCCTACATTGGTGCTAGTTCAAGTCCCTGCTGTTCTGCTTCCTTTCCATCTCCCTGCTAATGTGCCTGAGAAAGCAGCAGAGAATGGTCCAAGTGCTTGGGCCCTTATTATACACATGGGAGACCCAGATGAAACTCCTGGCTTTGGTCTAGCCTAGCCATGGCTGTTTTGGCCATCTGGGAAGAAAACAGTATATAGAGGAATTTCTTTTTTCTCTCTCTCTCCTAATTCTTTCAAATAAAATAAATAAACCTTAAAAAATATAAAATGACTCTTTTACAGAAAATGTTTAATTGTATCCTGATGTTTTATCTACTTTGTTAATCTATGTCTTTTGAGAAGGGAATTTAATCCATTTACACTTACTGTAATTACTAATTGGAAAGGACATTTGCCATTTTAGTTTGGTTGCTGTATGTCTTGTAACTTTTAATCCCTCTTTTATTACTATATTTCTTTGTGTTTAGTTGATTTATTTATTGACATGTTTTTATTCTTTTAAAGTTCCTTTCCCTTATATTTTAGATATTTTCTCTGTTCCTCTCATGGGGATTATATATATCATTCTATAGTTATACAATATATACTTTAATGATGCCAACTCATCTTTAATCACACCCAAAATCCCTATGCTGCCCTGCTTTGCTCATTTTCTTATTTATATCACAGATTATGTTTTATACATTATATAATTTTTATTATGAACAAAACTTTTTATACCTTTCTTTTAAATTTTTTTAGTTTACTTGAAAGGTAGAATGACTGAGACAGACAAGAAGAGACCTTCCATCTGCTGGTCTACTCTGTAAATCCCTCAATAGCTGGGTGTGGGGCAGATAGAAGCCAGGACTCCAGAATTCCATCTGGATCTCTCACATGGGTGGCAGGGACCCAAGTACTTAAGCCATCACCTGCTGCCTCTCAGGATGTGAATTAACAGGAAGCCGAATCAGAGGCAGAGCAGGCAATTGAAACCAGGCATTCTGATATAGGTTATAGGCATCCTAAGCAGTGTCTTAATTGCTGTACAAAATGCCTTTTTCTACATTTATTTTTTTTTTTAATTTTTGACAGGCAGAGTGGACAGTGAGAGAGAGAGACAGAGAGAGAAAGGTCTTCCTTTGCCGTTGGTTCACCCTGCAATGGCCGCCGCTGCAGCCAGCGCACCGCACTGATCCGATGGCAGGAGCCAGGAGCCAGGTGCTTTTCCTGGTCTCCCATGGGGTGCAGGGCCCAAGCACCTGGGCCATCCTCCACTGCACTCCCTGGCCATAGCAGAGAGCTGGCCTGGAAGAGGGGCAACCGGGACAGAATCCGGCGCCCCAACCGGGACTAGAACCCGGTGTGCCGGCGCCGCAAGGTGGAGGATTAGCCTATTGAGCCACGGCGCCGGCCCTCTACATTTATTTTTAAAATAATATGGAAAATTAAAGTTGCAAACTAAATTTTAAAAAATCATTTTACATTTGCTTATGGGACAGATGTTGTACAGTGGGTAAAACCACTGCTTATTATTCTGCATCCCTTATTGAAGCCAGTTCAAATCCTAGCTACTCCATTCCAACTGAACTTTCTGCTGATGCATCCTGGGAGGCAGCAAATGGTTGCTCAAGTGCTTGGGTCCCTGCCATCCATGTGGGAGACCTGGATGGAGTTCTTAGATCCTGGCTTCAGCCTGGCTCAGCCTTGGCTGATGTGAGAATTTAAAGAGTGAACCAGTGGATGGAAGATCTGTTTGTGTCTTTGTTGCTCTGCCTTTTGAGTTGATGAAAATAAACATCCAATAAGTAAAATAAATTTTCCCATGTATTTTCCTTTACCTTTGTTTCTTTATATTGCTTCTGATTACACTCCGACATCTTTTTCCTTTCAACCTGAATATATCCTAGTGGCTATGAACTCCTTCAGTTTTTGTTTACCTCAGAATGTCTTTAAAAATAAATATGTAAATGAGGGAGAAATAAAGAGTTATTTATTTGAAAGGCAAAGTTACAGAGAGAGAGCTACAGACAGAGAGGTCTTCTATCTGCTGGTTCACTCTCCAAATGGCCACAACAGCTGGAGCTGGGCCAAGCGCCAGAAGCCAGCCAGGAGCTTCTTCCAGGCCTTCCATGTGGGTGCAAGGGCCCAGACACTTGGGCCATCTTCTGCTTTCCCAGGAGCATTAGCAGGGAGCTGGATCAGAAGTGAAGCAGTCAAGACTTGAACCAGCACCTATATGGGATGCCGGTACTATAAGCAGTGGCTTAACCCACTATGCCATCATGCCACTCCGCCCCCCTCTTTGTTTCAAAAACATAGTTGTGCCAGATAAAGAATTTTTTACTGAGTTGTTTCTTTCAGTACTTTAAATATGTCATCCCCATGCCTTCTGGACTCCAAGGATTCTGTTGAGAATATCCCCACAACTTCATTGTCCTTGATGTGTGCTTTTCTATTGCTGTTTTCTTTGGATTTTGACAGTTTGAATATAATGTGTCTTGGTATAAGTGTCTTTGTGTTCTAATTAGATTTGCTGAATTTGTTGGAATTGTACATTCATGTTTTTCATTAAATTTGGGGAATTTCTGATCATTATTTTTTCAAATCTCTCTACCCACCCTCTGTTCAGAGACTCCTGTGGTGCCTAGGTGATTCAACTCCTTGGAATCCCTGTAGTCTTTTCTTTTTATTCCTCAGACTTGATAACCTCACAAGATTTGTCCTTAAATTTCCTTTTCCTTTTTTTAAAGATAGATTAATTTATTTACTTGTAAGGCAGAGCAGCAGAGAGAGGGAGAGACAGAGATCATAAATTTCCTGCTTCACTCCCCAAATGACTGCAACAGCCAGGTCTGCACCCAGTTAAAGGAATTCCATCTATTCTCCTACATGGGTAGCAGGAGCCCAAACATTTGGACAATATTTTGCTACCTTACCAGGAGCATTAATAGGAAACTGGATTGGAAGCAGAGCAGATGAGACTTGACCTGGCACTCCAACATGGGATGTTGGCATTGCATGCAGGGCCTTATCTTGCTTTACCACAATGTGGGCCCCAAGAGTTACTTTCCTTTCTTCCACATGTTCAAAGCATCTATTGAACATATAGTGAGTTTTTTGGCATATTTAAGTTCTAAAATTTTGTTCCTTATTATAATTTCTATTTCATATTATTTTATTCTTGTATCATTTTATGGATTTTTCTTAATTCTTTTCATTAGTGCTGGGAAATTAAGTTACTATTGTGATGAAATAAATATAATGTAAATTTTTTAACTGTTTAAAAAGGATATTTTGGGCCGGCGCTGCGGCTCAATAGGCTAATCCTCCGCCTTGCGGCGCCAGCACACCGGGTTCTACCTGGTCAGGGCGCCAGATTCTGTCCCGGTTGCTCCTCTTCCAGGCCAGCTCTCTGCTGTGGCCAGGGAATGTAGTGGAGGATGGCCCAAGTGCTTGGGCCCTGCACCCCATGGGAGACCAGGATAAGTACCTGGCTCCTTCCATAGGATCAGTGCGGTGCGCCGGCCACAGCGCGCCGGCCGCGGCAGCCATTGGAGGGTGAACCAATGGCAAAGGAAGACCTTTCTCTCTGTCTCTCTCTCTCTCTCTTACTGTCCACTCTGCCTGTCAAAAAAAAAAAAAAAGCTATCTTGGGAGTTGAGAGACCCTTTCTAATGTCTGCCATGAGGAAATCATTGAGGACATTACTCAAAAGATCAATCTGTGTTGTGACTCCCCACAGGAGTTTTTCTCTTTTCCTGACAGAGTTGAGAATAATAGGCAGAACATTTATCATGTCCACTTGCCTCAAGAAGAAACTGAGAAGCAGTGGCATGGTGCAGTAGGTAAAGCACCTGTCACACCAGCTTTCCATATGGGTGCTGGTGTGAGTCCCGGCTGTTCTGCTTCCAGTCCAGCTCCCTGCTGGGAAAGCAGCAGAGCATGACCCAAGTACTTGGGCCCCTGCCACCCATGCCAAAGACCCAGATGGAGCTCCTAGCTCCTAGCTTTGGCCAAGCCCAGCGTTGGATATTGTGGTCATCTGGGAAGTGAACCAGTGGATGGAAGATCTCTCTTTCCCTCTCTCTCTGTAACCCTTTCAAATAAATAATGAATATTAAAGAGAGTAAATTGAAGCCTCCTAGATAGTTTTGCACAGGATTCTTCTCCCTGCTCTACGGTGCTGCCCCTCTCCCCTCTTCCTGAACCTGGAAGTTTCCTTTGCAACAGAAAACAGGATCTCTGCCTTGTTTGCTGATGAACCTCCTGTACCTAGAATGGTACCTGACACATAATAGAAGCTCAGTAAGCATCTGTAGAATGAATGAATGGGAGGAGCTGGTGTCCTATAAGGAGAAAATTGAAGATTGTTATCTTTTTAAAACTATGTATAGTGAACTTTATAATGAAGTATGACATAGATAACAGAAAATGTACCTATTGTAAGTCTATAGGCCATCAAGTCCCTACTGAGTGAATACAGTCTTGTAATCTGCTTCCAGACACCAGGCAACACATGACCAGCACTTTGGAAGCAGAATCCCCCTATGCAATGCCCTCTCCCAGCTGCTGCTCACCAACAAGCCTCATCTTACCCAGGTAAGGGTACCAGCTATCCTGAAAAAAAATTCATGGATACGCTGTGCCTGTTCTTGAATTTCATCTGGATTAAAAAATGCAGGATGTGTTTGGTGTTTGGAATTTTTTGCTCAACATTTTGTGGGATTCATCCACACTGTTGAGTGACGCTGTAGTTGACCTCTGTTACCTTTTGAGACTTTATAAATACATGTTCATTTGAAATGAATCGATACCAGATAAAATCCCAGGTTTATAGGAAACCTCCAATAACTCCCAACTGTTGAGCACATAGTGACAGATGTTTCATTGAGAAATGATGACATCCGTGAATGACATCACTTAACCCTCTTAACAGTTTCCTGAGGCGTAGGCATCTTGGTCCCCACTCACTGATGAAGAAACTCAGACGTTAACTAGCTTGATATTCAGTGACCAGCTGAAGCAAGCTCATCTGAATCCCTGTCCCTCAGGGAACGATGCCTGTGCTTTACTGACCTCTACTCAGTCTTCTCTCCCACACTGCACTCTAGTAAGGAGCCCTTCGGAGTGAGTATGCATGTAGTAGGTAAATTAGGAAAAGAGGCTGGTACTAATTTAGAGATACTGCCTTGGGGTCATCTGTGCCATGTGGCAGCACAGTTTCCCAGGACCTCTTTGCTAGCTGGAACTGTGGCTATCCTGACAGCTTTAGGTTCTTTGCCTGAGGCTGACAGAGAGAGCCAGAGCTGGAGTAGCTGAGGAATGGGCCAGACCCTGCCTCTGTAGTACAGATTTGGATCTCAGGATAAAGTCAGGAAGGATTGTCTCCAGTTACGTCCTGTTTTCCTATGGGCTCCAACAGTCACAGGGCATGGGCCCAGCTGGAGGTCAACTCCAGCCAGCTGTGCTCAATTTTTCTTGTAGGGGGTGGTGACCTTGGTCTGACTCAGCCCAGTTGAGTAGTGGATGGCCTTGTCAGCCTGTGAGCTACAACTGTGGAGCTTTTCTCTGGAGGCAAAATCTCCTGGCCTGGGATCTGCTGTGCTTAGTTCTCAGCTGTAATGAACAAGCATTCATAAAGAGCAAAGTTTTTTTTTCTTAGGGTTTTCTTAGGCCAACATTTGGTCTTCAGTTTTTGCAGGCTTGAAATATTCCAGGTTTCATTTGATGTTTTTGCATCTGTTCATGGAAGATACCAGCTAGCAAGACCAGTGACATCCATCCAACAAAGCCAAAGTTGGGCTCACATTGTGTTGTCTCAAAATTTCAGCCTAAATCTGCTTTTACCTTTCATTTTTTTGAAAAAGTTTAAAAAAAAAAAAAAGCTTTACTTGCTAGCTTGGCAGATTCCACTACAATTTCATGCTTGGTTTACATTTTTCAATTTCCCAGTTCAGGAGGAGAACAAAACCTTCCCTTTGTCTTGCAATTCCTTTCTCTACTTTTCATCAAGCTTTCATACTGAGAGGTAAACTCTCCTGGTGTTATGAGCTTCCTCTGTCAGTTAGATATGGTTCCTCCCTTCCTGTAGGTTCTCTGTTCTAAGATGTACACTCTCTGGGGTCCTATGATCATAGGCGTTGCTTAATTCTTCTGCAGATCTAATTCTCTTTCCAAGGCTTCTTTCACCTGGCTCTCCCTTTTCAGTTCTACTCCCTTTTAGAGAATGATCTTTAAAGTGGATAAAAGCAAAATTCATACTCCCCCATAGTTTCCCTGAATTATGTATAAGAGCCAAGCTTATTTTGCTCTGGGCATCTTCTTGGGCACATTCTCATGCTTGGCTCACATAATCCTCACAGCCATGTTTGGAAGAGAACCTGCTTTTCCAGTATGTTGAAATGAAACAATGATGTCAAAAAGCATAGGAAACTTACCTGAGGACAGACCTGGAATCAGTCAAAGTCAAACTTGGTCCCCTCTACCCTCTTGCCTCCAAGTTCTTTTACTTCTGGTGATTATGAAAGAATACTCTCCAGAAAGGAAAAGTGCACCCCTTACAGTTTGTTGGAGGGAGCTTGCTCTAAAATGGAAACCCTTCAGGCAGTCCCTCTGTTCATTGCCCCTGTCCAAACACCTGTATCCTTCAAAGCCCTGCTGAGATCCTCCTCCTTCCTCAAGCCTTCTCTGGGAGGATCCCCTCACAGTGCTGCTTGTTGCATTAAATAACCATAAGCATTGCTTAATCAACTATTTGACACCGACTTAGCGACAGTCTTATTTCATTCTTCACAACACAGTCCATCCCCACCAACCATTATCAGCACCTTAAGTGGCAGTTCTGTTATATGTGTTATCTTCCAAACTGATTTAAATATAGAATACTCCCAGGAAATATACTGGAAGGCTTTGAAAAGTTCATGGAAATTGTGTATTATGAAAAAGCAATGCAGGTATTTCATACATTTTGTAACAAAACAAAGTTTTTACTTTCCATAAACTTTTTGAAGTGCTTATAATGTTTTTAATTGGGGGTGAGGGGATGGATCATCTGCTGATTCGTTTACAAAATGGCTGCAATGCTCAGGGTCTTACATTTAACTCTGATCAATTTGGAGCTGATTTTTATATAGAGTGAGAGGTAGGGTCAAGTTTAAACCTTTTGCATGTGAGTATTTTTTTTATTAATTTAAGAAATACAAACTTCATACATTTAATATATACAAACTTTGGAACATGATGATTCTTCCTCCCCCACCTCCTTCCCACCCTTGTTCCTCCTCCCTTTCCTTTCCAATTATTTTTTACAAAGATGAATTTTCAGTTAAATTTATACTCATAAGATTAACCCAACAACAAGTGGAGTTTACCAGATAGTATAAGAAAACAGAAAAAAAGAACAAAAACATTGCTCCTTGACTATCAAGACAAGGGCCGTTCAAAATTACCACATCTCAAGGTGTCAGTTTCATTCCCATAGTTCACCTTTTTGATACTCCCTAGTTACCACAGATCAGGGAGACTATATGGTATTTGTCTTTTTGTGACTGGCTTATTTTACTAAGTATGATGTCTTATGATTTCATCAATTCTGTTGCAAAAGACAGGATTTCACTTTTTTTCAACTTTTATTTAATATACATTTCCAAAGTACAACTTTTGAATTATAGCAGCTTCCTCCCCTGTCACCAATCTCCCACCCAAAACCATCCCATCTCTCACTCCCTCTCCCATCCCATTCTTCATCAAGATTCATTTTCAATTATCTTTATACACAGAAGATCAACTTAGTATATACTAAGCAAAGATTTCAACAGACTGCACCCACAAACACACACAAAGTATAGAGTACTGTTTGAGTAGTAGTTTTACCATTAATTCTCATAGTACAACCCATTAAGGGCAGAGGTCCTACATGGGGAGCAGGTGCACAGTGACTCCTGTTGTTGATTTAACAATTGACACTCTTGTTTATGACGTCAGTAATCACCCAAGGTTCTTGTCATGAGCTGCCAAGGCTATGGAAGCCTCTTGAGTTCACCAACTCTGATCTTATTTAGACAAGGCCATAGTCAAAGTGGAAGTTCTTTCCTCCCTTCAGAGAAAGGTACCTCCTTCTTTGATGGCCTGTTCTTTCCACTGGGATCTCACTCAGAGATCTTTCATTTAGGTCATTTTTTTTTTTTTTTTACCAGAGTGTCTTGGCTTTCCATGCCTGTGAAACTCTCATGGGCTTTTTAGCCAGAACTAAATGACTTAAGGGCTGATTCTGAGGCCAGAGTGCTGGTTAGGGCATTTGCCATTCTATGAGCGTGCTGTGTAATCTGCTTCACATGTAGGATCATTATCTCCCTTTTAATTCTATCAATTATTTGCAGACACTGGTCTTCTTTATGTGATCCCTTTGACACTTAATCCTATCTTTTTGATCAATTATGAACTTAAACTGATCACTTTAACAAGATGGCATTGGTACATGCCACCTTGATAGTATTCAGTTGGAATCCCCTAGTATGTTTCTAGCTGTACCATTAGGGGTATGTCTAAGTGAGCATATGCTAAACAATACATCTCCCTCTTATTCCCACTCTTATTTATTTAACAGGGATCACTTTTCAGTTAAATTTAAATGCCTAAGAATAGTTGTGTGTTAAAGATTTCAACCAATGGTATTAAGTAGAACAAAAAAAATGCTAAAAGGAATAAAGTAGTAAGTTGTTCCTCGACAGCCTGGACAAGGGCTGATCAAGTCATTGTTTCTCATAGTGTCCATTTCACTTCAGCAGGTTTCCTTTTAGGTGCTCAGTTGTCACTGATCAGGGAGAACATAGGATATTTGTCCCTTTGGGACTGGCTTATTTCACTCAGTATGATGTATTCCAGATTCCTCCATTTAGTTGCAAATGACCAGATTTCATTGTTTTTTACTGTTGTATACTATTCTATAGAGTACATATCCCATAATTTCTTTATCTAGTCTTCTATTGATGGGCATTTAGGTTGATTCCATGTCTTAGCTATTGTAAATTGAGCTGCAATAAACATTGAGATGCAGAGAGCTCTTTTATTTGCCAATTTAATTTCCTTTGAGTAAATTCCAAGGAGTGGGATGGCTGGGTTGTATGGTAGGGTTATATTCAGGTTTCTGAGGAATCTCCAAACTGACTTCCATAGTGGCTTTACCGGTTTGTGTTCCCACCAGCAGTGGATTAGTGTGCCTTTTTCCCTACATCCTCACCAGCCTCTGTTGTTAATTTATGTATGTGGCCATTCTAACCGGGGTGAGGTGGAACCTCATTGTGGTTTTGATTAGCATTTCCCTGATTGCTAGTGATTCTGAACATTTTTTCATGTGTCTGTTGGCCATTTGGATTTCCTCTTTTGAAAAATGTCTATTGACATCCTTGGCCCATCTCTTAAGTGGGTTGTTTGTTTTGTTGTTGTGGAGTTTCTTGATCTCTTTGTAGATTCTGGCTTTTAATCCTTTATCAGTTGCTTAGTTTGCAAATCTTTTTTCCCATTCTGTTGGTTGCCTCTTCTCTTTCCTGACTGTTTCTTTTGCAGTACAGAAACTTCTCAATTTGATGTAATCCCAATTGTTAATTTTGGCTTTGACTGCCTGTGCCTCCAGGGTCTTTTCCAAGAAGTCTTTGCCTGTGCCTATATCTTGCAGGGTTTCTCCAATGTTCTCTAATAATTTGATGGAGTTGCATTGTAGATTTAGATCTTTAATCCATGTTGAGTGGATTTTTGTGTAAGGTGAAAGGTAGGGGTCTCGCTTCATGCTTCTGCGTGTGGAGATCCAGTTTTCCCAGCACCATTTGTTGAAGACTGTCCTTGCTCCGGGAATTAGTTTTAGATCCTTGATCAAATATAAGTTGGCTGTAGATGTTTGGATTGATTTCTGGTGTTTCTGTTCTGTTCCATTGGTCTATCCATCTGTTTCTGTACCAGTACCATGCTCTTTTGATTATAACTGTCCTGTAGTACATCCTGAAAACTGGTATTGTGATGCCTCTGGCTTTGTTTTTGTTGCACAAGCTTGCTTTAACTAATCGAGGTCTCCTGTGCCTCCATATGAATTTCAGCATCATTTTTTCCAGATCTGAGAAAAAGGTCTTCAGTATCTTGATTGGTATTGCATTGAATGTATAAATTGGTTTTTGGGAGAATGGACATTTTGATGATATTGATTCTTCCAATCCATGAGCATGGAAGATTTTTCCGTTTTTTGGTATCCTCTTCTATTTCGTTCTTTAAGGTCTTGTAATTTTCATCGTAGAGATCTTTAACGTCCTTGGTTAAGTTTATTCCAAGGTATTTGGTTGTTTTTGTAGCTATTGTGAATGGGATTGATCTTAGAAGTTCTTCCTCAGCCATGGCATTGTCTGTGTATACAAAGGCTGTTGATTTTTGTGCATTGATTTTATACCCTGCTACTTTGCCAAACTCTTCTATGAGTTCCAATAGTCTCTTAGTAGAGTTCTTTGGATCCCCTAAATAATCACATCATCTGCAAAGAGGGATAGTTTGACTTCTTCCTTCCCAATTTGTATTCCTTTTATTTCTTTTTCTTGCCTAATAGCTCTAAGACTTCCAGAACTATATTGAATAGCAGTGGTGAGAGTGGGCATCCCTGTCTGGTACCAGATCTCAGTGGAAATGCTTCCAACTTTTCCCCATTCAATAGGATGCTGGTCGTGGGTTTTTAATAAATTGCTTTGATTGTATTGAGCAATGTTCCTTCTGTACCCAATTTGCTTAGAGTATT